GGATGGTGAAGACTTTTAAAAATCTCCGAACCCCACTAAATTGAATTTTGCTCTCGTGACACACACACGTCTAGTGAGGTTCATATTAGGTTGACTACTACTTCAATTACAAAATATGTGAACCAAAATGGTGAAATTAACTCTTGGTTCTTCCAGAATGTACTGTACAAGCTGCAGTTAAAACATTTTACAAGTTAAATGAAAACACGTCAGTATTTTCATCGTCCATGTATGCCAAGGGTAAAACATGATTAGACATGTTGCAGTAATCATTTATACCTTATATTCTCAAAACCCTCCCTTCTCTGAATCATATACAGTATTCATAAACAAGTTCATAAATGTATGTACATAAGTTGCCTAAACTTAAATGAAATTAAGCCATGTATAATCATTTTAAATTAACCTCAGCTAAAAATCATATAAAAACTGAGAACGTGTTAACCCAATTGCTTAAAAAAAATTTCCTCTTGCCATATTTACACTTTTGTGGCTGCCATTTGCTGCAGTGCAGGTTTAATTAATTAACCTCTTCATACTGTATGTACATACTTTGCCTGCTGTAAGAGAAGTGGGGCTTTGTGCTTACAAGCTTTTGGTCAGGAAATAATCCCATAGGCATGAATTAAGAGACTGAAACTGGTAAGAGACTGAAACTTTTTGGTGGTGTTAAACCAGCAGCTGGGTTTTCTTATGCAACAGACCTGTTACCAATGCCAAAACTGGTCAAGTGCACAGTGAAATACTATAAAAGCTTCTACAAAAAAGCAGTAAAGATCTTGTAACTGCGGATATTTGCAAACCATCCTATAGAAAAAGCGAGTAAACCATACTGAGGATAATCTCACCTTTTCTAAAAGGTAAACTGTGAAATACTACACCAGATATCCAAGCTGCTACAAGGACTCAAAAACATCAGAGAGAGCAACTTTGTGTTTTTAGGCAAACACAGTCCCTTAAACTGATCTGAGTAGCTAAGCAAGCCTAGGCCTGGTCAGTACTGGGAAACCTCCAAGGAAAATAAGGTTGTCACTTTAAGTGGTGTTGGTGGACCAGCAGGGGGCAGTATTCCCTCTAGACCAGAATTCCAATCCAATGGCCTGTTCTTTGGATGATTTTTTTTAAACTGAGATCCTGAATATCTGGGCATTAACAATCCCATGGTATGTGAATGCCAGGGTCAGGTTAAGATCAGACCTGTACAGTCTGAAGCTGCCTTTTAACTCAGACTGGAAAGAAAGATCACTTCCCTGATTAGCTGTTTAGTGGAACTACAGGGGCAGAATGCTAGCTGTGTCAACTGTCTGTGTACAATACTGCACTTGTCCAGTATATACTGTATGTAGTAGTAGTAATAATAATAATAATAATTGCTTACACTTATATACAGTAGCGCTTTTCTGGACAGGTAATGGGGACCCCTCCACCACCACCAGTGTGCAGCCCCACCTGGATGATGTAACGTCAGCCATAGTGCGCCAGAACGCTCACCACACACCAGCTACCAGTGGGGAGGAGAGCAGAGTAATGAAGCCAATTTATAGAGAGGGATTGTTAGGAGGTCATGATTGATAAAGGCCAATGGGAAATTTTGCCAGGACGCTGGGGTTACACCCCTACTCTTTTCGAGAAACGCCCTGGGATTTTTAATGACCACAGAGAGTCAGGACCTCAGTTTTACGTCTCATCCGAAGGACGGCAACTGTTTACAGTATAGTGTCCCCGTCACTACACTGGGGCATTAGGACCCACATGAGCCGCAGGGTGTGCGCTCCCTGCTGGCCCCACTAACACCTCTTCCAGCTGCAACCTTAGTTTTTCCCAGGAGGTCTCCCATCCAGGTACTGACCAGGCTCACGCCTGCTGAGCTCCAGTGGGCTGCCAGTTGTGAGCTGCAGGGTGATATGGCTGCTATCACGTATCATGTACTGCTATCATGTAAAATACTTTTGGATGAAAGGTGCTATTTGGAAGGATTATTAATTAAACTGTCATGTCAAATGTGGACAAAGGACATTGGCTTACTCACTTCAAGGTCTTTACTAACTATTCTTTGTCAGTGTCCTTGTGCATTGTGGGTTTGTCATTATTTCTTACCTAGCTTAATAGCTACAGCTCAAATTTCACCATGCCCATAATACAAGGAACAAAAAGCATATATAGTAATAACATAATTAAACAATCATTAATGATGATGTCTGGAAAGAAAGAATTATTCAAGATGATTTATATACAGTAAAAAAGGTCTTTGTAAACAAGACATCAAAGCAGCCAACAGAAAAAGTAAGCTGGAAAACTGATTATATCAAGATAGTTATGCTTTGTGGCGAGGAGAGGCAGGGTGGGGTTCAGAATATTGGGACCCACTGTCCCAAAACCAGAATCTTTGGGCATAATTTTCAGTGTTAGTCTAGCATTAGGAAAAAGCTGTGAAAGCTCTTTGATCTTCATTACAATAAGAAAGTGCGACGTTGTAAATATATACTGTAATCTAAAATCAGAGTTTGATATTTAACCCTGAAGACCCCGATTTTTGTAGAACAAGTCATATTCATCATTAAACAGCAAAACCTGTGTACCTCTACTAATGTGGACTTTTCTTTAACTCTGTTGCTAATGAAGCCTTCAAATAGAAGTGTTCCTTTAAAAAAAAAAACATTTGAGTTTTCAGTCTACTTTAGTCTGCTGAGGTTGCAGCACAAATGCGTATTCACTGATAAAGGGAGAATAAGGCTCCTGTATGAAATAAGCCTTCATAAAATAAACTCAGTTCATAGCCCTTTAATACTGTATATAGTACTGGTGTCTGACTGTATAACTCTCTCGAATTATTTAGAAGTCAGAGTTTTCCACAGACATACAGCACCTTGCAGTAGTATCCCATTTTGTGAAATTTCAAAAGGACACATACATGTTTTCTGAAACTTTTTAAAATATTTTCTTCAAAAACTGAAGACTTCTAAGGGTAAGATAAGGTACAGTAAATGTCGGCAAAAACTAAAGAGAAAAAAATGAAATACTGTGTGTTGATTGGAAAACTGAGGCAAACGAGTGAACAATTACACAACAAGCAACATAATTAGCTGAGTGGCCCCCGTGCCTTTGAAAATAAGTTTCAAAAGAGTTTTTTTAATACTAATAATTTATTTACTTCTTTCATTTTGTTTTAAGCTCCGAGTGTGTGGAACAGGTTGTGTAAATAAATCAACTGCTATTTTAAAGTGTCGTGACTTCCAAGCTTTTTTGTTAGTCAAGCTATTTTATTATATGACTACCAAATGCCTACTCAGTATTTAAAAGTGCACATTATATTTTTCACAAGCCCTGCTGCCAGTTTGATGCCAAGGAACATTCAACTTCCGGAAATCTCCACACACCGTTTTCCTGCGGTCAGATGGACTCTCAGTCCCAGCACGTACCTGTGGAACAGGGATGAAATTCAAACACGCCAAAGTGTTACTATTTTGGGGACATCAGCATTAGGGTCTACGGTTTGACTACTCACTTACTTTTCACCTGCTTACATTCTGCACTGCAGTAAGCTGTGTAATATTACAATCTTAACAAGCGCAAACAAATCACCACTACAATACACTGCTCATAACTACTCTCCCTCTAAAACTATAATGATTTAGAAACAATTCATTAAAGTAAGATGTTGGGGTTTATAAAAATATAAATAATGTGCACACGTATACATTGATTTAAAAACACCAAATGCCAAGTAGCAAAATAAATAACCACAGGAACTTTAAAACACAAATTGGCCAGGAACTGAGATGTCACTTGAGTACAGTTTTCTATTATTAATGACACAAAGCACAACACCTGTACTCCTATACCCTTTTTTCACAACTGAATGATGAAATTCATTTCCTTCTGGAAATTCTGCACTTCCTGTGTAAATTGTAAGAGCAGAACAACTAAGTCAACAGCAGTTACTATAAAATAAACACATGACTTTCAAATTACACTATTGAACTAACTGCTGATAGTCTGACAAAGTTCAGAAATGGTCTACCCACAGTCCTGTAACAATATAAATATTTTAGTAAAAACAAAAGGTGGAATTCAAACTAAAGGCTATTAAATTTAAAATTATTTATAAAAAAGATGTTAGAACAGTGCTAAAGGTTTTGTGAAGGTCTGCTGGATGTGGAAGAGATGGATGTTGTGCTTTAAAGGAACACCAGACCGAGCAGCTACTTTAAGTCACAACACATCTCTTTTTTACCCTTTTCCTATTTTTTTTCCTTTTTTGTGATCCTTGTGGTTAGAAACAATCCCAGGAAAAGGTCTGGAAAAAGAACACGTGAAGGCGGGACACTGTGGTGTTGGTGGCACTTAAATTTGTTCCTGGGTCATTTCCCCCCCACAAAAATCTGTTTTAGAAAGGTCTGTTTTGATGCTCTTTGTTCGTCCTCCCTGATGTTCTCACAGGCATGCTACCAAGAGATGATGTTCTCCTTAATTCAAATATGTTCCCTCTGGTAATGTACAGCATTAGTAGAAATGGGCAGAACAGAAGATGACTTTGGTTACTGCTCTCTAAGACCAGACAGGTGTTCTGTAAAATCCAATTCCAATACCCCTCTTACAATACGACGTGTTTATCTTGCGTTTCAAGGATAAATACAGAAAATTGTATTTTCTTTAACATTTCATAGGCTAATATCCCGGCTACAGTTGTTCGAAACAAAGTTAATGTATTTTAGAATAGCAAGCTTAATGTGCCGGACAACAGCTGGCACATTTGAGCATTTTAGACCTGTTGAATTCAGAGTTTCATAATTTCCTCAACACCTGACAAAATGACTCTTATTCCTTGTTAAGTTATTCCTTGAAAATAAAGAGAGTGCATTGAATAAAACTGAAAACAATAGAAGTGTGATATTCTGTTCATTATATTAGTTGTGGTGGTTTGTGGCGATTACAATGTCAATATCATCCATGCGCTATCTCCAGCCAGAGTGGTTAAAGAAAGGAACAGCATGTTTAACCTCTGAAATACCAGACTTAATCAGCGCCGGCTTGTGACGTTTGAGTCGGTGTGTGCTCTCGGCGGCGGAGGCAGGCGTGTTGTGTGGGGGAGCAAGAGTCCATACTCGCTCGTCAACAGGAGTTTGCATGGTGAGACTGTATCACAGGTGGCAGTCTGCTGTCTCCACTCCAGCCCTCCGTCACCCTGGGAAAGAGAGACACAGTGAATCAGCCAGCTCTAACGGGGTTATTCCCAGTCTGCTTCTTAATGCAGGAGTGAGAGGAATAATACTCATTTTTGTGATCTGATTTGGTAAATAAAATATATCTAATACTGTAGACTAGACAACTAGTTCCCCTGCAGAGCAGCAGACAGGTTACTCCTACACATTCATTACAATAAAACCCCTAAATTCTGCTCACACTCTTGTTTCTATTATAAACTGTTTGGAGGGACACATTCTCCTAAGTAAAATCAGGGAAGAATGAACATTAGGATTCAGATTCTCAGACTTCCTAGGACCGTCTTGTTTCCCAATTGTACATACAGTATGAGCAACCCTGTAACTTCACATTTCTGGAAAAAACAAACAAATAAACAAACAGCTTCATAATACAATCTGTTTCATCGAGTGAGGTTAACCTGTTGATCACAAAAGCTTGGATTAATTTATATTGCATAAGTGCTACCAATAGTTTGTGCCTTACATAAGGCAAATCATCTTTCTTACTTAAATCTTCCTTTATATAACTAGTGCCTAAAAAGGTCAAATAATGTAGAAAAGAGAAAATAAGCATGTCTATATAACTAGCCTGAGATTACACTGAGAAAATATTTCAGCTTGTGTGATAAGAGCAAAACTGCCACTGTATGCACTTCTAAAATCTTAGGAGTTGGATTTTTTTTAATTCACAGTTTCTTTCTAAATCTAGGTCAGATTTCATGAATATGTACGATCATTATGTACATGGCATGTTTATCTGTGTCTGCATTTCAGAAAGAGAAAAAAAAAACCCAAACGAGCTTCTGGCAAAATACGTTTAAAAATAGCACCTTAGATGGTAAACAAAACATTGTCAAACAGGAAGTGAGCAGTCAATATCTAAATGAATGTGCTCGTGTTACTGAAATTGCAGAAAAAACAGTATAATTCCAACAAATATATTATTTTTGTCTTTACATCTGTCTTGTTGCAGCTAAATATTTACACAATTTCTCACAGTCAGCAAAATTACCACCTCAAATACATTCACCCAGCACACAAACATATTATATTAATATATATGTACAGTATATATAAAATATATGCATGCATATGTTAGCATTATTTCCATTGGTTCTGTAATGTATATTGCTGCATATAAAAGAATATATTGGAAAACACTATTAATTGCTTCATTTTATTGGTTACTTAAAATGTGGGAATGTTTCAAGTAGCAAGAGAAAAGCAACAAGACCACCAGTGTTAAAATGCTTGGGCCTTTTTGTAAATGTGTTTTAATCATCTTCACAAAAGAAATGAACTCATGGAGCAGTATCAGAACTGCAGGATTCTGTGCTCTCACTTTGTTCAATCTGGGGTGAAGCCACACAAACAGAATTTCATGTTCCAGGAAGACAACAAAACCAAACATTTCTGAAGAAAACTGAAAAATCATTTTTTTTGTAGTCTTAGACGGAATCTTGAAGCAGCCTCTAGTAAGATGAGTTTGCAAAAATTACTGTAGCCATTTTACATTTGTGCAAAGCTCAGAAATCTATCAAATATGAGAGGTAATAAAATTATTTTATATACATGCACACAGTTCTAAAAAAAACAAGTCTGAGAGGGAGATATTGGTTTTAAAATACAGAGCAGTAGGCAGCATAGTGTATGAATACATTCTACTACATACTTTCCATGTTGATGATAAGTGTCTATAGAGGAACTGCCACTTAATCAGCTCAGGCAGAGGAAGAAAGATGACAAAGCCAGTACATCCCTGACCAGTGCAAGTGGAAACTTTAACACAGCAAAGTGTCAGCTTTAACCAAGAAGTCATCACCATGCAAATTGATGAGATTTTTCATTTGAATTGCAAACCAGATCTCTTCCAGTTATAAGTGAAAAGCAGAATAATTGAGTTCTACATCAAAAATCCTAATCAGGCCTATTTAGAATCGACAATAATTTAATTTAATGCCATTCTAAACAAACAGATAACTGTGTTTGTCTGTACATATATTATGTTCTATGTAAATAAACAACATGCCTGATGATTTCAGTCAAAAAATCCAAAGAGAGTTCACAAGAAATTACATGATGCATTGTCTTTCATGAAAAAGTAAAACTGCTTGAGAACATTCTCATAATACTCAAATGTCAATATATTGTAGTGCTCTGGTATTTTAGAATAAGGTTGCAGAGTGCACAGATGCTACACAGGCCACCAATTTAAGACAAGAAAAGGCTTTATTCTTGACAACATGCAGCCCTGAAAAAAAATCTGGTTTGCTCGGTTTAATATGCATTTGTTGTTGCTGAAAAGGTTAAAAGATTTTTCCTATCGAAACTGAGTGGGTTGTGAAAGAACATTTTAATGAAGAAAATTTCCCCTCCACAGCTATATATTATCACCAAAGCCATCAAAGTTTCAGAATGACTTATTTATATTTATTTATATAAAAAACAAAGATTAGACAAGTAGAGCAAAATTCAAGAGTATATGCTATTTTCTTTAACTTTGGGTTGTAAAAGGTACTGGCAGGATTTACTCACAAATTTACAGTATAATGAATTGTAAATTTATACTACAGTACAGTATATAGGCTATATTACAAAAACATTTTAAAACCTCTACAGTTAAACACTACTGCATTTTTTAATAAAATCAATACACTATATTACAACAACAAATATTTAACAATTCCACCATTTATGCAGGTCCTTGCCTGCTTTGAAGTTTGGGGATGGCAAATATTAATATTTTAATAATACAGTACCATACAGCATCCTGCTTCGCAACTGCACTTGAATGCAAAAATTACATCACTTATCAAAAGGAAAAAACGGCATATTTACAGCATATCTGAATGGTTAAAAAATAGCAGACATCACTCATCTGCTGTCTCACTTTGATGAGCACAAGGTTGCGTGGTTATAAAAATTTAAAACTCTCTGCTGTGGGCAGACCTGATGAGTTTTTTCCCCTTTTCTCACAGCACTACAGAAAAAGTGAGAGGTTAGGGCGAGCTCTTTTGCAAGACCATTCAGTGTCTTCCACGCTAATTTTAAAACCCCACACTAAATTACAGTTCCAGCTGAACAATTTTTATGCTCGCAACTAGAAGGAAGAAAAACTCTCTCGAGTGCAAAATTGAAATTACAGAGAAAAAAAAACAGGAACAATCAAGCAAATAAACTGGCAAAGTTAGCAATACCAAGCACCGAAATTCAGACGAAACATTTTGGGTTTGCCTCCGTATTATTTCAGAACGAGTTTCAACTCCCAAGTTAAATTAAACACATTTGAGAAACTGTTCGTATTTGTAACGGCAAGTTACTGTCACTCCTACATAAGGCAACCTCAACGATCAATACTGAAACTAAAAAAAAAAGGAGGATACCACAATACATTCTCTTCTATAACCTTTAGTGTTAGATTTTATGTAAACAAAACGTTTCTCATTTTAGACAAACTCTCTGAAACCTTTAATAGAAAAATTACACAAAGAGGCTAGGTGCAATTGCAATTCTCTTCCAGGCAACCAAATAAGAAATTTACTTCTTATACAGAAAAATCAAATAAAACACTGAAATTTTTAGACATTTAAAAAACAGCAGAAACCATACAAAATTAAAACAATTATAAATTTGAGTTGCAGATCAGAAGTGCCAGTTATTGTTTTTTTGTGTGTGTGTTTGTTTTTTTATTTTTAACAAAAATATTTAAAAAACACAAATATGAAAGCAATAAGAAATAAGATTAATTTGTAATTACTAGTCCAACATATTTCCCTACAATTAAAAAGCAAATGCTCTGCGAACTAAACTGTGTCATGTCATGTTGTCATTCTAGTTTCACGTTATCTCAGCTATTTCATTTGGATGTAAAGCTTTTCATTTTAACAGACCCCACACAATTTCACCCGAAGGACAGTGACAATGTATTGTGAGAAATACCACTAATTGAAGTACCCTCCTGTACTGTTATCCGTGCCCACACACTGCATGAGAAATAAGCTCCAGGCAACCATGAGCTATTCTGAAACCGATCAACAAGTCTCCCCACATTTGATAAAACTTCTCACAGTCAAATCATTTTGTGCTCGTTCCTCAAAAGTCAAATCTTCCATCATCTTCCCCGTGTACAGCAGAAGGCATGTGCAGTTTAATCCAAATAAATCTCCTTCTTTTTTGTCATAAATTCTATGGGGACCTCTTACATTTTAAGGGAATTTAAAATGAAAAAAAAAAACAGGGGTATATAAGATTAACATTCTTTTTTTATTTGACAAAATTATGCACAGTTTTTCTGTACATAATCTCATACAAAACCATTATTACCAATGAAACCATACATATTAAAAGCCCTGACCTTTTCTGGTTTCTGAAAACAATGTTTAGCATTAACAGCAAAATATTGTAGTCATACTGTAACTTCATCTTATGAAATAATTAATCTCACAAAACAATATTTCTTTAAATGAATGTTAGCATCTTAGAGTTAGCATCTTAGAGCTGGTCACTGAACCATTTTACATTAAGACAATTTCAGTGAGATTACTGTGCTTTTATATTCTCTTCCAACAGCAAATAAAGCAAACTAAAATAATATTTAAGAAATCTAATTTTGTAAAAAAAACTAACTACAATTTCATTTCCTGAAATGCAATTAACAATAACCCAATACTTCAGATTACAGGATGTTCTTATTTTTATGATTTTGTTAACAACTGCGAGTTTTAACAGAGTTGCTGCAGGCTTGCCACTTTTTCAGCTTATAGCAACCCTTAAAATGTCTGTGCTCTAGAAGAACACAAAACCACAGGTGGGTGTCCTCTGTTACAGACGGAGATATCATGTCTTATTTTCAAAGTATCTGATATTGTTGTACCAACAAAAAATAAAACCACATTAATGAAGCTCTTTTGTTGTTTTCTGTTTTGTTGTGTAAATTGTATACTTTCATTTAATCATTAATACAGAGCAATTGAAACGGGGC